TTTTAGGTTTTTGCGTGAAAACAAGTGCACTCAAGCCCAATTAATCGCATACGTGAGAAATCAGACAACCTGAGGTGACGGCAGAATGGTAAGCAAACTTGCGACGGTTTTGATTGTACGTGACTGCCAATATGGCCAGTGAGTGAGTGGTCGGTGGGCAAGCGACACTCCAGTAAGCAAGCAATTAAGCATTATTGACTGCCAGGGGAAAAATGGTCGTTCGATACTTTTCGCTGGTTGGTAACTGTCCTCGTAGATGCGCTCAGTCAATAGAGCCGACAGCTAAAAGTCGTAGCAAACAGAGCTTAGTACCAAATATTGGGATCGTGCAACGAACGGGTAACTACTCCAATTTTATACAGCATTTTGTGCTTCCAGGGAAAATGCGTGAAACCGGTAATTTCCATGTAGCACTTGGAGGTTTTTACTACTGATGAGTGGTAAGTATTCTGTTCAGCATCTGAAACATTCATAATGCTAAATAGCTTAGTTTCTCTGGACAATGGTCGCCTAATTTGAACTTGCTCGCAGAATCCAGAGATGTAGGTCTTCAGGCATTATGTTGAGGGGAATATGGATTCTCATTGTAAATTTCGAAATGACACAATAGCGCAGTGCCCCACCGTAATCGTTAATAGAGCCTCAGACACAGTGTTTTGACCTGAATTCGTCTCCTTTCACTTTGTGTTAATGAGAACTCATCCCCACAGCTGAAGACAACAACTGGTATTAACAGCTGATTTCACCTGTGGGAATAAAGAGTTGATAGTGATCACTGGTATTTTCATTCGCCTGAGCTTTATTTATGTCCTCACATATCGAAAATATTTCCGTACCCACGCTTCCCATAAAGCGCGCTCGCCCATGCTATATGTAATCATCCCCCCTCCTGCGTTTGTTGTCTAACTAAGCGTTATTTGTTCGCTATCACGTTTACTTGTCGGGGCATCACCACTTGGCCGGGTCGGATATTAGTCGATTTATCTCAGTTGCGCAGATGCAAACACAGTGAGTTAAACTTAAGATAAACCGATAAGAGATACACAACTTTGAGACACCACGAAAGATAGGAAGTGTGGAAGAAATGAGCTTACTTTTCAGACAGTTTCAGTCACATTCTAGAGAGAGTGTGTAATGTTTGCCGAAAAGAGGAAGTTGAGCCGAACAGTGGATTTCTCCAGGCCTGTTATTGATTCGGTTTCGTAAGCAGTCGATTGTTGCGATTAGGTTGCGAATGGAGAGCACCAACGATGGAAATCCACATCGAAAAGTTTAGTCTAGTCTTCTCAGATCGCTACAGTCTACAAACTACTATACGGAATCCCTTCAGGAGGGTGTACCCCAAGAAAAACATCGTGGACATCTTGTTGCTGAAAGTTCTAAACCTAACTGCAGAGAGCCGATAAGTTCCTTTTCCCTTGGAGTGATTTTGTTTCCCCAAGTCAAATGATCTATAGGAATATACGGACAAAACACGTTTCAAGGGTTGCTTTAGAAAAGACCTAACGAGAGATTGATCCCAAGCCGTCCAAAACTTGGCAAGATCGACAGGAAAATTCGAACTTACCCAGAATTCTACCTTAATTACTTGATTAATTTCTAACGTGGCTCCAAGTCACGAAGATCAAAATTTGGCCGGAATGCTCGCTTCGCATGTCAGATGTCTAGAGTTCAAACTCGAGTCCAGTGCTTCCCCGATTTGGTGTGAACTCGCCAGAGTAGGATGACGATTGTTTAAACCAGAGTGATGTAAAAATGAACTAACTAGATGGTATAGACGTAATACACTACTCATAAGGTTGCTGAAAACCCTGAGACAGTCCACGATCGGTTTCAACATCAGATGGGAGCAGCATCCGAGTTTCCGTCAACCTTATGTTCTACTTGAACCCGAATTGCGCGAACTTAGTGAAATCCACTCATTTGCAGGCCTATTTGGTTTTTGCGGGTGACTCACCTGGAGCCCAGCTGAATCTATACACTACTCTAAGGTTGCTGAAAACCCTGAGACAGTCCACGATCGGTTTCAACATCAGATGGGAGCAGCATCCGAGTTTCCGTCAACCTTATGTTCTACTTGAACCCGAATTGCGCGAACTTAGTGAAATCCACTCATTTGCAGGCCTATTTGGTTTTTGCGGGTGACTCACCTGGAGCCCAGCTGAATCTATCGTTTATGGTGTTTTTAAGTTTGCACCAGCCCGCCTCAGGTTTCAGTTGGTACGATATTCGAGAAGTGAACATGAACTAACCAATTAGTCCTTATCCGTGAAATGTACTTAGTTGGAGGTTAATATGGACTTGGTGGGAGACTGAGATGGCAAGATCGCTCATTGGTTAGAGTGTGGATTTACGGCCCGGAAGGTCCGTGGTTCGAACCCGACCTGTCTCTCGACTTCTTCTGTCTAGGCGCAGTCCCCGAGTTTCCATCAACCTTATGTTCTACTTGAACCCAACTTGGACTCTTTCCGAGAAATACACTCATTTGCAAATCAATTTTGTTTTCACGAGAAACTCAACTGAATCTCTCGTGGGCTGTCGAAGAGTTCCCAGCAACCTTGTGAGTAGTTTCCTTTATGAAAATATACTGCGATATCTCGAATATCGTGCCAACTGAATCATGAGGCGGCCTGTGTGTAACACATTCAGTTGGAGGACATCATAAACGAGAGATTCAATTGAGTCTCCCGTGAAAACCAAATTGATTCGCAAATGAGTGTATTTCTCGGAAACACTGTTCTCTTCAAAAGGACTGATTGTCCTTTTCGGAGTGAGAGGTTGATGCCGATCATGCATGTTCTCTTCATTGATGTTCCGGTTATAAATTGGAGTATTACGTAGAAATAAACCGAGCAATTAAAATGGTGGTGGCATGGGTAAGTGTGGGTTATCCGTTAGCCTTAGGCAAGATCCACTAAAAGCTATGTGGGCACACTGGATGGGACAAAGGTCAAACTGGACAACCAATCACTCTTGTGCAAGTCGCACTGGGAAGAGCAAAACAGGAACCACCCTACCGGATATAAGCCGGGAGGATCGAAACCGCGAGTCGTAGTGACTCTTCGAAACTCTTCGCGAAGCTACTACCTGTTCATGAAGAGAGTATTCGGAAGACAGCGCAGCTATCCATACACTCACACGGTACTTTTTCTCGATGTTAGCAGAAAAGAAACGCTGACAGCGGCCAAAAAAGTGTGAAACACTAGAACATAATACAAATTCACAAAGGTTCCTCTGAATCCAATTAACTTACCAGCCACCAACAACATTATCTGACACGAACGATGTATGGTCCGGATGGAGATGAGGTAGAGAGCGAATCCCAAGATGAATAGGAAAAATGTTGCGAAAAAGAGCAAACCACAAGCAGAAACCAACATCAAAAATGCAATGTGCCAAGCAATATGAGGTCCGCTGGTAAGCTGTGAGTAATGACCACAGCCAGAATGCCACACAACGGGCTGCGCCTGTCCTTTTGTGATTGCGGTAGAATCACTGGCTGTTCTGTTAGCATAGACAGGATAGCCACAACGTCGAAAAAGTCCTAAATCCGTAGGAATCCCAGCTTTTGTATCCAATCTGTTTGTATCTGGTTTCCATACAGGGGTCTGGCCCAGGGATTCCGGAGTGTGCAAATCCAGCGATGAAGTTAACCCTGCAGCAGTAGTTGGCCTCAAGAAATGGACATATCCTTTCAACCAGTAGGGTAACAGACACCCAATGGTGCACAGAATGGCTGCCAACCACGTGAGCAGTGACCAGATGAGCCACAAGCAACGCATCTTCATTTCGCCATTCGCTTCATCCTCGGCCGGATTCGTTACACGCCAGTTTCCGTCTGATTAACCGGCTTTGTGAAACCTAAGAGAGCGTGACGACGCTGACCAATCAAAGTGACACGAAACAGCTGACTGGCTTGGTCGATCGATTGACTTGGTGCATTTGATTGGCTGAGGCTGTGGCCATTAGCCATAAGCGTTAGATAAAATTCACACGTAGGCATGAATTAAGGTAGGTTCCGGTGTCCTACTCAAAGTCGAGCAGCGCAGTGTTTACAGACCAAGTTTTTTTTATTGTCCAGCGTGCCCGGTTACATACGTGGGATCGCTCAGAAACATTCCAACGCATTGCAATTTCAAACACAGGGCATTACTTTTGATGACGATTGAGGGAAACATCAAGCAGGAAGCTTCCCTTGCAGGTTGTGTCACGGATCTCAGGTGATAGTTGACAAATCGTGTTTGAACGCATTGTTATTTCACCAGATTTCATGACAGGTCATTTGTGTGTTCAGCAATGACCACATGACAAATACCAGGTGAGAACAGGGTCAGCAATTCCTACCTGGATCTTTTGACAAGGTTGTGAACAGCTCCTGAACACAGTAGTATATTCAAGAGTGCAAATACGCACTGGGTGACGATTTTCAGATGAAGAACTCAGAGATGCAGTAAAGATGGTGCCTGAAAGATCAGTTTACCGAATACTGTCAATGATAAAGGATTTCGCCATTTGGATATCTAAAATTAGGGGATAAACGGTAATTTGGCGAACAAGAAGTAGGATGTCAGTGGGGAATCATTTCATGAAGCAAACCTGGCTGCTTAAGTCAGATGACCTCTCTTGGGCTTCTCTCGTGCGTGCTTGCATGCGTGTGTGGGATCCGACTGCTTTCAATGTTATCACAAACTTAATTTTTAAATGAAGGCCGCTCGCGAATCGCATGCCATTAGGGTTCAAGTGGAACGTGAATTTGACGGAAACTCGGAGACTGCGCTTACCGGATGAGCCCTAGTAAGGACGGAGTCTGTTGTGAGCTGTCCTATTGTTTCAGAAATTTTGTGGGTAGTACTTTCCACATCGAATATCGTGCCAACTAAAATATGAGACTGCTTCATTGCAGCACATTCAGCTGAATAATACCATGAATAAGGGATCCATCTGGGATTTGGTTGGGTCTCGCGTTAGTACTCCCTGTTAGTGTTTTCACCCACCCCCATCGCACCTAGGTGACGTTTGAATCCAAACTGGGGACAAGCACATCGTCATTTCCAGGATACTGTTCTGTTTATCTGTCCTCAAAGCCTTTTAGCCATCCCTTTTAGCAAATTGACAGGGCAGGAGAGAGGGAGAGCAGGTTGAACTCACAGCCCTGATGTACATTCCACCAACATTTTCTGTCATACTAGCAGCGCCATATTTGGGTCCCCAGGACTTAATCTGAACAGCATTCGTCGCTTCAATTTAGCTAAGGGCTCTGAAACCCCGCCTCGGACCTGCAGATAACCTAAACGATTCGATGATCGAGCCTTATGTACGCTGGCTAACTGCATATCTGTGATAGGAAGACGGTGATCAGTGTGCCATGCAAGCATTCTCTGGAGAGACAGCAAAATAATAAAAGCACTTTTTTTTACAATGTTTCTAGATGCTCCTACATATCCAGGGTAATCTATAAAGGACTACAAAGCACTTTGCGAGAACCCCGGGGAACGTCAAAAGAGCTGGGGATCTTGAAACACAGAAAGAGTGTCTCGTGTCCAGTGTGACCCGTTTAGGCGAGCATTTTAGTCAAGATACTGGATCCTTATACAATAAAGACAATCCTCGCTTCACCTTAACAGTACCCGTTTGTGAAATATTGCGTACCTTTTAGCGGCTTGTAACCACTCCCTAGAACTTGGATAAGATTAGATATAATGATTAGATATAATATAAAGATTATAAAGATTATATAAAAATTAGATATAATGAAATGTGTTGCACAGTGGCAGCTATCTGGTTCGTCTCAGCAGTTTCACTAAAAATCTTTCCGATAAACCTAGTAAAGTGAACTGGAGTTGGTATGACAATGAGAGTGCAGTTACACAGACTGAGAACACCCTGCCCCCCACTGAAGGTTACTGGGTTTTCAAGATATACAACCTAGTGTCTGCCGGGGTCTTACTCCAAGACATGCCGAGCATGGGATTTCAACCCCTTTTTTTCGAAATTCATCAGTCCGACCGTATCTCTTACAGATGTGGATTAAAGACAAGTCCATAGACAGACCTTGAAGCTTGGGTAGAAGGGACCTGGCGGAGCGGACCAGACGTTTTCGGCCGTGAGTTGCTGTGAGCCATTTTATTGATACTAAACTGGTTGGGATACTTCTAGAGTATATTTCTTCGAAGGAACTTACTCATAAGCTTACTGAAATTTCTTCGATAGTCAACAACCAGTTTTTTCCCCCTCTTTGGGCTTACCAAGTAGGCATTGTTCACGAGTTTCCGACAGCCTTACGTTCTGCTTGTAGCCAACTTGTAAGAAGTTTGAAGAATAATAATTCCCACAACAGATTGGTTGTAATGGAAGGTTCCGCTGGGTCTTTGATGAGCTCGAAGAAGAGAAGACCGATCGTGAGCTGTCGAATGACTTTCAGTACCCTTATGAGTAACCATATTTTCAAGAGACAAGATAATCTCGATCTTACCTGGGGAATAGTTTGCCTAGGTTGGTTTTAACTGCTGACTCACTTGAACCCCAGATCAATACTTCGATCTCCAACGGAATGTACTGAACGAATAAGAGGTTCAGGTGAGATTCAACTGAGTCCTCCGTGGAAAACAGTCCATTGTGCCATAATGTGGATGGAAACTCTGATAATTTGTCAATATGATGTCCTGAAAGAAGATGGAACCACCGTTGGGCTGTGAAATGGTCTTCCACAGTCATATACCTATTGTTGCATGATGTCGATAAAATAGTTACTTTACTTTCACAAAGTTATTTCCAAACGTAAGTCACCAAGTAAGTTGTCAGCAGCTGCAGACATATCTCTGGAAGGTTTGTTTCGGTTCATGTGACAAGAACGTATTGTGACAGCCATTCTTCATGTTTATTAACCACAGAATTCGGAAGGGCCAGCAGTGCTCTGATAAGAGCTGAACGTGGTTTTTTCGGAAGACTTCCACGAAACTTCCTTCTGAGAAGTTGTCACTCGAGGAGCCAGTCAATACGTTACCCCGTGTTGCGATTTCCATTATTGAAGGACGAGTGACGCTATGCCTTGTCTAAGTGAGAAGTATTCACATTGCTAATCAGCCAACCATGTTCATCCAATGGACGGGGGTTAGATGTCTGCCGGAGATGCTTACTATCGATGATTTCCAACAAGGTTGAGACAGCTGTACACTCCTTCTCGGCTTTTCAGCATAGATTGGCTTCACTGACAGGATGAAATCTTCGTAGAATAACACAAAATAGATGTTTCTGTAGGACAGCTTAGGTCCTCCAAACTTCGTCACTGTTTACTGTCTAAAGGCAAATGCTTCGACTTAATTTTACCGCACTAGAATATATTGTGAAAGTTCAAGGTCAAAACAATGGCGGGATTTAGGAATGAGAACAGTTCGTTCAAGAGTGAGTAACATTTTCCTCCTTTGTTGTACATCTCATTCAGGCATCCGTCCATACTCTGGACACGTTGGCGTCAGGAAAAAAACACTCTACGATGTAAACTGCCTTGCGCAACATTCTACCCTACCCCCAGAGATCAATCCCTCCATCAAGGAGGGCTGTTTAGTAACTAGGCAAACTGACCCAGGTTAATTACTGACCGTCAGGCGAAACGTTTTTTACCCTAAATACGGCTGACGTGCAATCGCGGTATATGCACCATTTCTTCGGGTGTAGCTTGGCTTGACAAGTATACTTAGCCAATAAATAGGCAGACATCAAGTTCTTGGAAACAAAAGGCGGTTAAAACACTTGTTGGGGGGGTATTGGAACTTAGAAAACGCGGTGAGTGCTCTCGAACTGATTAGTTGCTGCCGTTTCCCTTATTATGTCAGGGTATACTTGCATGAAAAAATACCATGGATTGTTGTTGGATTTAGCTGTGTAGCATGTAGCGAGGTAGCTGGAAGAACCCGACATTAGATTGCCGGACTGTACAGGTGAGTTCAGCTTTTGAAAAGGTTAGTTGCTGAAATGTTTGGTCGCACAGACGCAGAGCAACAACACTACAACCCTTTTAATCCACCAATAAAGAGTAATAGGTTTACAGTATGGTTCGCCTGTAAGCTCAAAAATCGCGACCATATGACACTGTTGGGAAGAATGAACGAGAATTTCGGACAAAGATCTATATTCTCTGAAAAACCGGTCGAAATAAGGTTTGTAATGCCTGACCCCGAACAAGAGTTAGACTAGAAGACCCTGAAATGAGCGAAATACACTCATTTGCAAACAAATTTGGTTTTACGAGAGACTCATCTGTAACCCAGCTAAATCTCTCGTTTGCGATATTTCCAGGAATACCAGCTCGTAACATCTGCACAGTTCCTTGACTATTCTGTTTGAGGACCGGGGCGTTGTACTTTAGAGCCGAAAAGTTACACGCAACTGATACATAAGCTGTTTTCCGCAGAAAAGTATTGTGGGGGACTCGGGGACTGCGCCTACCTGATGAGCCCCAAGAAGGGGGAAACCCGTCGTGGGTCGTCGAAGCGTTTTAAGCAACCTTATGTGTAGTGCATTACGAATATACACGTATCGTGATATCCTGAATATCGTAGCGGATGATGAGGCGGCCTGGTGCAGCACATTCAGTTGCCTGGAAACATCACAAACGAGGGATCCAGCTAGGTTCCAGGTGAGTCTCTTGCAGAACCAAAATAGTTTTTAAACAAGTGTATTTCGCTATTTTCATGCAATTTGGTTCCAAGTAGAACATAAGTTTGGCGGAAACTCGGGGATTGCGCCCATCTGATGAGCGAAACCGATGTTGGACTGCCTGAGGCTTTTCAGCAACCTTGTGAGTAGGGCATTACGGAGACACTGAAAATCTTCTGTC